AACTTTGAGAAGTTGATTTTGAGATTATGTTGGAAAGGGTAGAGAGGAGTAAATTGAGAGTTTATAGGACCCCAGAGACGGAAAATATTGTGAAACCTGTAAAGAGAAGGTTTGCTACAGATAAGAAGAAATCAGAACTGCATTGAGATTTAAAAATAAATAAATGGGAGCAACCTTACACTTAGCCCTTCTTCCTCTAGGAAGTCATTAGCTAAGGATTCCTAGAGTTAATAGCACCCAGGGAGAAACACTGCTCTGGATTCTCATGTCCAGTACTTGAATACTGTATTTGTTTTCTTAAACAAGAACCAAGCCAATATTTAATCTTCTGAGCCTGACTTTTCATTTCCAAAACTGAAGCAGGTTGAACTAAAGTCCTGGATGTCCAATCTGAGTAATTCTGAACAAACAGTAGTTCTTGGTGTGGATGATACTTGAGAGGAAAAAAAAAATCTACTATGTTTATCTTCTTAGGTATTTAAAAATATGCTTCACAAACAGCACTTTCTACACCATGCCGCTGACCTTTCCCCTGTTTATCAAATACATCTATTACACCAGGCAGTTGATCTTTCCAGAAAATGGCTGGACTGGCCACTTGGTAGAGATTGCCCAGAAATGATGAATACTGTGACCCATGATCTTTCTTTTGGTCATTTGTCTCATTAAATTTTTTTACTAGAGATCTATAAAGTACATACAAGCAAATATTACTGTATTTCATTGACTCTAAGATGCCATCCATTGTAAGATGCTCTTTTATTTCAGATATTGCCGAAAAAGACTGTTAATTAAACATGTTTTCTTATCACTTGACTATGTGCAACTCAATTTCAAAGATATGAAAATATAAAGAAATGTATATTAGAATCTCTGGGGCTTTGAGTCGCTCTTCTCTTGCTCAGGCCTGCTTCCACGTCTAGAAGTGTACTATCGCTTCTAATAAAGCTATTCTTTTCTACTGTTAAAAAAAAAGGAATCTTTGAAATCTCTATTTAGATGGCATTATGTTTTGATTGCAAAGGTCAGTAGCTTAAATACTTTTGTTGATAATATTGCTTTGTAATAAGAGTAATTAATGGCCTCAGTAAATCTTTGGAGGAAGGATTTATGTGGAACACATAAAATATATAAATTTTTCTAATAGCCTACAATTTGGGACAAACTGACAGGCTTTTCATTTGATGGTTAAACTCTAAAAGTTCAGAGAAGACCATTTTCAGTATAACATGGTGTAGTGTGATAAATTTTGAACCTGATATCTGAAGACCTAGGTTTGAAACCCTGCCCTATCTGTCCCTTATCTGATGTGTAACCCTAAGTGAGTTATTAGTTTTTCTGAACCTCAGCTTCTTGTGCAGTCAAAACAGTGAGGATGTCTCCCAGGGTGGCCGTAGAATCCAAAAAGGCATTTGTAGGCAGGTAGCCTTACACAGGTGGTGGCTGCTGACATTCTCAAAGCCTTCTCCAGCATGTTACACAGATGAGGGCCCTTGAGGGGGAGCCAGAGAAGTAAAGGACTGTGGAATGTGGAGACCTTTGCCAGCACGCAGGATTCCATAGTAGAAGAATGTACAGCTAAGGAAGGGAGAGGGCCTAAGGAATTGAAAAGATGCTATCTTGAGTATCTGGCAAGGTAGAAAAATATTACCAGTGTGCATAAATAAGCGTCTCTTAGAATGACTTGAGTCTCAGCAGTTGATATGTGCAAGTTCAACACTCATGGGAAAATCAGATTAGCTGATGAGCAGCAGAACTTTGGGCAAATTGGAAGACAGAAAATGACCTTTGACATACTACCTTCTTAAAATTGATTTTGAAATATAATAAGCTGTAACTCCAATTAACTTACCTGTTTGGTTTCCATTGCTATTTGTAATATTTTCTTTTGATGCCTGGTTGGAGGGGGTTTTCTACGTGTTGAGATTTTGTACCTCCTGAAACAAATCCTGTGCATGACACATTTCCAAGGACTGATACAAAAGCCTTTTGCTATTCCTCTAAGAATAACTTTGCTATAAAGAAAATTGATAGTTCTAATTTAGAATTTTGAAAGGGATGAGCAAAACTGGAAGTAATTTTCCAGATGAAAAACACAGTGGCGGGGATGGGTGGCAGTGGTGGTAAACGACTCCAAAGTTTTCGTGGCTGTGAAGAGCCAGATGAGGACTTCACTAAATCTGAGTCCTTATCTGCTTTATGGGAGTAAATAATTAAAATTACAAATACTTAATGGTGGTTTCTGGTGCCAACTCCTTAAAACGGAGCTCTGAGTGAGTGAGCCATGATTTTTTGTGGCTTAATGCGTAGAGTTAATAACCTGAAGGCAGCAGAAGTGCGAGATTCAAGGGAGTTCCTTTGGGCTCACTTGGTGCTGTGGCCACATCACTGTGTGATCTTAGCCTGGTCTTCACTTAACTTTCCGTAGTCTCAGTCTGCACGTTTATAAAGCAAAGAAATGGACCAGATCGTGATGGCACTGGGCTTTGGCTTCTCCCATGACTGTCTTGTAGTCATTGCTAATCACTTAGGACAGGGGTCCCCAACCCTCCGGCTGCACACCGGTACCAGTCCCTGGGCTGTTAGGAACCGGGCCACATAGCAGGTGAGCAGTGAGAGAGCCATGGAAGTTTCATCTGTATTTGCAGCCACTTCCCAACGCTAGCATCATTGCCTCAGCTCTGCCTAAGATCATCAGGTGTTAGATTCTCATAGGAGCACTGGTCCCTAGTGCCAGAAAGTTTAGGGGTGACCACTGACTTAGGACACATACTCTCTCACCTACTTATAGCCTCTGAATCCTTCTCATTCATCTTCACGCCTTTAGGCAAGCACTTTTAGTTGACTGCTGTTAGAAAGTGAAATATCTATTTTCCATCCTGGACCAGATGATTTTTATGGTCCTTTTGAACTTTAACATTTTCTGAAATTCCCAAATCCTGGTCAGCCAACTCCCAAAAGCACTTGATTTATTACCATGGTTTCAGAAGTGATGAATAATTAAGTGGAGAAATCAAGGAAAATTCATAGTTCTTGGCAGGAAAAAAACCAAAAAACAAAACTCCCAGGGCATGATAGAGTGAGTTTCACTCGTCATCCTGTACATGAAGAACACCATGTGGTCTGTGTGGTTTTAACCATCTAAAGCTTTTTAAAGCCAGAAGCAAGTAACCAAATCTAGATCTATATTCCCTCCAGGCTCTCAGAACTAACTTTTAGGTGCTTCTCATCTCAGGTCCCAGTGTCCCAGTTTAAGGACATTTTGAGTTTCTCTGGGCAAGGATAGACAGGCTCTTTTTCTTCTTCCTACCAAAGATAACCCATTTGTTAACGATTATATTGCACATGAATCGTACTCAAAGAAAACTGGCAGAGGAAGTTTGAAACTTGAAGAGGACAGAAACATACCTTGTCCATTGCCTTATAAAATGTTAACACCTAGTTATTTAACCATCAGTCCCACGTGGGAGGTCTCACCAATGAAGTGTGGAGCACACGTGTTAACGTTTACATTCCATAGTTCCTGTCCTTTGGCTGTGACTGTGTCTTGCGCAGGGGAGAAGCACAGCAGTGATGACCTCGATGTTAACAGATCTCCCCAGATAGAGTGATCACTTTCTTCCCATTCGTGACTATGTTTTTAGGGATCCTTTTACAGTCTTCCTCAAGTGCTGGTGTGTGGATGGATGGGACAGAGTACAAAATGCTGAAGCCTTTTCTTTATTTCTTTTTCTCAATGCTCCTTTCCCTAAATGCCCTTTTCACCTGCCAGGTCAGCTTTATCTTGGATGCTTTTTTCCAGCATCCCACTCCTGGCCGCCTGCTGCCGATGCAGGAGGCATGTGCGCATATTGTGAGGCTGTGGCCCCCATTCCTCAGAGCTGGCACAGTTGAGCTAGGAGTGAGGGATGTGCCAGTTTTGACTGGGCTCCACACCCCTCCCCCATTTGGATTCAAATGGCTTTTGGCATCTTGAAAAGAAGGATTAGCCCAGGTTGTATCCTCCTGCAGCCTCCACGCACCCTGTTCCTGTCAACCCAAGGCTGGAGTTTGGCTTCCTCTCATTGTTTGACTTCTGAAACTCTCAGTTTGGGCAGCTCCTGAATGCCTCCATTGTCCAGAAGAGCTGCCAGAACCCAGGAGTCTCTTCTCAGGGCTGGGAACTCTGTCCCTAGGAATCCAAGTAATAACTTAATAGCCTCTGGCCTCTGCTCAGCACATCCTCTCACAAGGGCTTTGTGAGTTGCAAAGCACACAGATGAAGAGGAATGTCACAGTACTCCTTGTTCTCCAAATCAGATGCCTTCTCAGCCCATGTGTTTACTGAGAACTGAGGCTTTATAGAGCCCTCCACCCCCAAAAGAATTTGACAAAAAGGGGTGAAAATCAATAGCATCCCATCTTCCAGTGAAAACTGGGGAGTCACTGTTAAATCTCTTGAGGCATCGTACATCTATAAACGCTCACACACACACTGTGTGCTTTATTTCTAGGCCTCTTTTACAGTTGCACTTTTTCAACTTTTGTTGTAGTTATCTCCTAGTATGCTCAGGGTTAGCTCAGTATTTCTTAAGTATTATGTAATACATGGCCCAAAGAACTTTGCAGGCTTACACATTTCCTCCTTAGCATAATGTTTGCCTCAGTGGGGTACAGCGAAGTGAAGTGCAGTTCTCTCCACCTTTATGACCGAATGTGAAGGACTGATGTCTGAATATGGCAGCCAGAGACTTGAATTTAAGTCCAGATTGGATCCTTTGATCTAAGCATCTTATGGCATTTCATTGAGTGAGCTCGATACTCAAAAGTATACACACATGTGTTACTCAAAGAGCAATGCACTTCCTGATGGATTCTGATGTTGTATCAGAACCTAACTTATTTTAAAACTGCCTGTTCGCTCCTTACTATTAAATAAAGCCTACTGCCTATTAAAGCTTACTTTTCTTTTGGACAGCATATTACTGACACTATGTTTTCTCCTTTTTCATTTATTTTAGGAAAGCATGCCTCAGACGCCTCCCTTTTCAGCAATGTTTGACAGCAGCGGTTACAACCGAAACCTCTATCAGTCTGCAGAAGACAGCTGTGGAGGGTTGTATTACCATGACAACAACCTCCTCTCTGGATCTCTGGAAGCACTCATCCAGCACCTAGTACCTAATGTGGATTACTATCCGGATGTAGGTATCCGTGTTCCTCTCAAACACATCCTTGGTATTCGGCAGAAATTATGGTATAGTAGTCAGGGGCTTTAGATACTACAGAATTAAATCTGGGCCGCTAAGACTTTTTCTAATAAGAAATAGCATATGGTTATTGACTGCATTGAGATCAAATTGAGCCTGGGTATGATTCAGATTTTAGTTGTCTCCATATCAATTTGTTTTCAGGGTTGGTACCACATTGTAGGAATCAGATGCCATCTAGAAGGAGGTATCCGATATGCCTGCTTGATTCAGGCATATACCTTGGTCCTTAAATAGACGTGGCAGAGAACATTGGATGCTCCCAGAATATTTAATGCCTTTTTGTTTCCAAGATCATCACTAGGCTGAGAAAAGTGAAGTTAGGGAAAATGCATAACAAAGAGAACAAGAATTACATTCGGGGTGCAATTCTGTATAGAATGGACCTCAGATGACATACTTGTTTATGTTTTACTTTGATAACTGGCATTTGTATAGATAATACTTTCTAATTTAAGAAATTCATTTACATTTCCTCAGTCTTCACACAAATTCCAAGAGGCTAGAGAGATAACTGAAATTCGTAATTTGCACATGGTCTCACTCCTAGTATCAGCAATCAAACCCAGGTTTTCTAATTCCGAAGCAAGTGATGTTTTTTCCCCTTCCCTTATGCTACAGCTGACCCTGTCAACCAACAGCTGGTTGTTGATAAATATTTCATGAAAATATTTAGACACTAAATTCATGTTTTTGTAAATATAATAATGACCTTGGTGTGCAAAGGATAGTTCGTGCTTGCCACTGTAATTCAACATAACGTTTCTTACTGAGTTATCTCTCTGTGTGTGATTTGTTACATAGCATTTTCAAATATGTTGCCACACAGGGAAAACTTACAATCAAAAGTAAAAAGAGTCCCTTGTTCAGCTCTGTAAGTGTTTATGAGTTACTAAAGGTGCCTAAGGGGAGAAAAGAACCCATGGAATTTTTCTTTTCATTGGGAGTCTGAAACTATTATAACAAATAAGCACTACTTCATTACTGGCTTCTTGGGAGACAATGTGTTTAAAGAAAAGCATATAGTGCGATATTGTATTTTATCTGATTGCTTAGCCTTTGGACAAGTAAATAGATTACTTGAAAGCCCACCTTTGACTTTTTCTTACAGCACAGAAACACTTCAGTGTGCGACACTGGACACACACTGGTGACTTCTTGAGCTGATGTTGGTTGGGTGTTTTTTTTGTTTGTTTCTATTGAGTTACCATAATATTTGGACACAGAACATGATTCTTTATGGGTGGTATATTTAAGTGAGATTTACCTCTTGCGGCTGAATTTCATTCTTCTTTATGAGAGTAAGTTATGTGTCCTGGTGTTCTGCCTTCTGGAGGATGGATGTGAAAATGTGCTGTGAATAATTTTAATAGCTAAACTTATCTTGCACTTCTGTTATTTTTAGTATGGTTTAAAGAAAAAGATACATGAGAAGGTAAAAGAGACATCCATCTTACAGTGTTTTACTACTTGTAAGCATCACTTTCGAAACTGCAGCATATAAACTTTGATCAAAAGAACTTAATGAAATAAGATGTATAATGTTTGGAAAGATATTCGCTTTAGAGAAAATTAACCATGATGATTTTTTTCTCTTGCCACAGAGAACGTACATATTTACCTTTCTACTCAGTTCTCGGTTATTTATGCATCCGTATGAGCTAATGGCCAAAGTTTGCCACTTATGTGTTGAGCACCAGAGGCTAAGTGATCCTAGCAGCGATAAGGTAATGCTATGTTTTGAACTGTAAAATTTTTTCTTTTAGGTTTGGTAACTCTGTGGCTTAGATGTTGTGAAGTTGGTTTCCTTAAGTAACCCTGACTTATCCCCAGGCTGAGGTGCACAAATCGTATCATGGATATGCAAAGGGAGTTGGGAATGGCATAAAGAGCACAAGACAAATCTAATACCATGAAAGAGCCCTAGATCCTGCCTTAAGTTGGTGGCACTTGGCATTGACTTGGGGGCGGGGTACTAGACCTTCTTCAGTCCCAAAGACTTTGCAGTGGAAGTTTGTCAGCGACACTGTTTGTAATTATTTATTTTTAGGTTTTTTGGTTTTTTTCTTTAGTAATTATTTATTCGAATCTATCCATGGTGATAGATTTACTTAATTAGATTTGCTTTTTCTCCCTAGAACCAGATAAGAAAAATTGCACCCAAGATCCTTCAACTCCTGACAGAATGGACAGAAACATTTCCTTACGATTTTCGGGATGAAAGAATGATGAGAAACTTAAAAGATCTGGCTCACCGAATAGCCAGTGGCGAGGAGGTAGGTAATCTGAATTTAGCACAGCCTCTTGAACTTTTAGGCAGAGTCTTGGTGGGAAATGATGCTGAGTTAGGCATCAGAATCTCCGCTGCTTCCTTTCTGTCTTACCTTTGGGCAAGTTCTCCACACAGCATATCGGTCTGTTTGGTGTGTTAAAGGGGATGATTTTATAATCCCACTTCAAAGAGGAATGATCTGGAGTTTTATGTGATTAATTTGGGGGAATATTCATGGCAATTCATGCACAGGATTCATGTTGCAAGTGTACTTTTTTGGGTCTCTTATGTTTTTAATTTTATTTTTTAATTAAATTTATCGGAGTGACATTGGTTAATAACATTATATGAGTTTCACCACCCAGAGTCCAGTCTCCTCCTGTCACCATATATTTGACCTCTTTTACCCTCTTTGTTCTACTCCCTACTCCCTTGCAAGTGTGTTTTAATTTTACTTTACTTACACTTTTCTTCCTTCCAAAAAGGACTGACATATCAAGTTAGGTAATAAATATCATATTGGTAGATATAAACACTAATGGATATAAAATAAATAACATCGATATGTTAACTTATAATAAGTAGTATGTTAATATATTTAAAATAGATATAGACAGTTTGTACCATGGAAAGGAAAAAGCAAATATGCTAATATTGAGAACTGGTCGAGTAGGATGAGAATGCTATGATTTGAGTGTAAGCTCCAAATAAAAGGGAGCTACAATTGGTTATATTATTTTCACTGTCAGAAAAAAGAGAAAGCATAATAATTCTTCAGGGCATTAAATTAAATGCGATTTTTAAAAACTTTTATGAGAGACTTTGTGTAGGGGACATAGAACGAAATCATGGAAACTACTCTGTGTAGTGTTTATAACAAATGCTCCTTGATAAAAATGGAAGCCACAGGTTTAATGTGTAAATTAGCAAAGGTGATTCTTTGTGCGAGGAGAAGACAAAGACAAGTCATCTGGTGCCTGGAAGTTGATTCAAGGCTAGCGCCTACAGTAGGTAGAGATGGAAAGTAAGTCTCTTAGATAACCTTTCATAAATATCGCTTCCCTCAGGTGAGCCTTTGATAAGGGCTAACTGGCTGCAGCAAATTCAAGGTTATCCTCTTTGAAGCAGGCCTGGAGGGCTGGTATTCTGTGTTGAGGCTTGTTGGGCAAGGATGTCTTTGTAGTTCTGTGTTACTGGTGAGCTCCTGGGAACAAGTCACTTAGGCACAGATACAGAATTTTCACATAGAAAAAGATAGCTGAAGCGTTCGGCAATTGTAGTGATGTCTTGTTTTGTTCATCTTAAAATGCATTTTCCAATTGCAAATAACCTTCTTGAGACCTCATTTTTTCAGAGGCGTGCAGTAGAGATCATGTAATAGGACACCCTGCCTACTCTGTATACTTCTGGTGAATGCATTTTAATACCATTTCCCCTGACTTAAAAAAAAAAAAATCAGACAAAAATTTTATAAGATATTAGCACTTGAAAAATTTGTACTTGCTTGCCTGCATTATGTTCTCATGAAAATGTAATTAACCCTTTTACTGTCCCCTTATGACATTATATTGAGCCCTGCTGCTGAAGACAGCATATTTTCATAAGGCCTAAGGAGTGGTTTCCACAGTCATTTTGCAAGTTATCTCTGTTATAATCATTTCGCCAGTTTGTGTGACAGTTTCTAGCAAGGTGTGAATTGGTCAGTCTCTCATTCACAAAGGCAAAGTTAAGCATCACAGTGCAGTTTTGTAGTAAATCTCTTGTTAGAAGGGCTGGCTATTGGGTTGCTGGGCAGGGTCAATGCTGGCTCAGTGACCTCAGTTGATAACAAGCTGCTCAAAAGATTAGTGACTTCACAAGAACTGTTTCTCATATGAAGGCTAAGCCCTGAGTCAGTCTGTGCCTACATACAACAGTTAAGTTGTATGTAGGTTCCTGATATGGCGGTCAGCTAACTTTCCCTCTGTTGCTTTTTTAAAAGATGGAATGGTGACTTGGTCCTTTCCAAAAGGAACACCTTAAAATTCTTTTTTTTTATAAACATTAATAAAAAGTTAGTGTTCTGAAAGTGCCCAATGGATGATTTCTTATACTTCTTGTCATGGGAGAGAGGGAGATCATTTCTATCAGTATGGGCCAGTTGGATCTTTTTTTTTTTTAATAAGATCAAGCCACTCAAGGGTTGGGTGGAACTGTGCTAAGGGCCAAACAGCCTTCTGACCTGGAGTCTTATCAGCATTCCTGTGTTAATAACAAATCCTTGAAAACCCTTGAGATTTTCAGATGGCTTTCTGTGTGGAAAGAGATGAGAACATAAGCCAAGTCTAATCAAGGAATTGATTGACCTAAGGATTGAGTGGTGAGGTGTCACCTGCTTTGATCAGGTTGGGTTTCACAATGAGATGTTGTTCCTTCTAATTCTATCCAGTATTCAGAATCGGGTCCACACTTGGCATCTGGTTGATCTGTGTGTGCTTTGGCAAGTCCCTAAATGCCTCGTTCCTTCTTTATTTCTAGAAATCATAGAGATAACTCTTGTGTTAATGTCCCTTTCAGCTCTAAAATTTTGTTGTGGATGTTCTTTACTCAGTTCTTTATTTGGCATGCCACTCACTTACTCGTCATGTGCTTAAGTGTCTCTCCTCAGAGAGACCTTCGCTCACAACCCCAACCATGATCACACACCCCCTCCCATTATAGGCTTTCACCACCCTTTCCTTTATAGCACTCTGTGATTAGTAATTACTTGCTTTTTTATGGCTTATATTTCCCCACTGGACTCCATGCTGTACCCGCTTTGTCCACCATGCCTTCCTTAACTCCTGGCTCAGTACCTGGCACTTAATAGGCACTCAGTAATATTTGAATGAATGAATGAATGAACAAACAGATTAGATTGTTTCCTATTCAGTTACTGGAATAGGAAAAAAATATTTTCCTCTACTGAAAAATTATTTCCCTCCACAGGAAGGAGCATGGGCTTGGGTTGGGGCTTGCTGCTTCTTGCCTGGGACTTTACAGATATTTTTTTTTTTTGGCAGTCAATGAATCCAGGTGTGCCCCATATATAATTTAGTCAGGTTCTTCTGAATCTGCTAGGACAGTTCCACATAATTTGGCTTAATATGTTTAGCCCCTGGGGGTTTGCCCAAAATGAAGTGGTTTATTAGGACTTGCCTGCAAGAAACATGAAATAAAATTAATGATTGAATTACATGACAAATGACTATAGTGGGTAGAATGCAATTTTCTCTTTCTTAAGGGTCTGGTCTTTGTTCTATCTTTATTTTCCAGGTAATTACTGTCACCAGCATTTGAAGTTATAAAAAAGAATAAGTACATATTTAGCAATTCATGACTCAGTAAGGAAGCATGCTTAACAACACAAAGCCTTGTTTCTTAAGGAGTCAGATGGCAGCAGGAAACTTTTAAAGAGGTCACACACATATATATGCGTGATCTTTCACACACACACAGACTAGGTCTTTGTTATTTGCATAGCTTCCTCCCACATTCTCGTATACACTTCCCCCTTATATTTCCCCGCTTTGCTCACTAGCTGAATCCTCGACTATATATTTCTCTACTACCTTTTCCCTAAACGAGCATTTTTTACAGTGTAGAATAAGAATCTTTTACCAGATATGCTAGTAGAGCATTGGTTTTCACACTTTGCTGCAAATCAGAATCACCTGGGGAGCATTTATGATGACATTTGAAACAGGAGACTGAAGAAATCATTTTACATTCATAGGTTTTCAATGTGACTCAAATTATGAAGGTAGAAGAGACAAGGGAGATGGGGACGAGGGATTTATTATTATTTATTATTTATTTTTATCGAGGTATCATTGACATAAAACATCATATTAGTTTCAGGTATATATCATAATGATTTGATATTTGTGTATATTATGAAATGATCACAATAAGTCTAGTTAACATCTGTCACTAGACAGTTATAAAATTTTTTGTGTGTGATGAGAACTTTTAAGATTTACTCTCAGCAACTTTCAAATATGTAATACAGTATTATTAACTATTGTCGCCATGGCATACATTTCATCCCCAAGACTGACTTATTTCATAACGGGAAGTTCGTACTCTTTGCCTCTCTTCACCCGTTTGCCGCCACTCCCCTTCAAGAGATTTAAAATAGCCCTCAATTCAACCTCGAATTGCTTCGAATTCCAAAAAAAGTGCCATTTTCTTTGAGTGACGAGCATATTACCAAATAGATACCATCTTCTAAACTGATAACCTTAATGTTATGTGAAGAACAGTTTTTTTTTGACAGTTCAATTTTTTTAAACACTTAGGTATTTCAGTCGTGATATTTAGGGTGGTCTGTGAATATAGTGAGAAATAAAGGTTATCTAATGGGCCAGTTAAAAGAACTCAGTGGCATATACACCAGACAAGTAGAGAAGAAGAAAAGAAAAAGAAGGCTGTGTATGTTTTTTTGTCTTGACTATGAGAATTGATCATTTCTAGATGTATTCATAATTTTCTTTGGCTTAAGTATGCTAATATCTATTCGTTTGAGTTTTTGTGATATACTCCGGTAGCCAAATTGCCTCTGTAAAATTATGTGGTTTTTATACTTGTAGGTAAGGTGCCATTTAATTTTCAGATAATTAATCTCAGAAAATGATATTGTGGTAACCTTTTAAAAGGAGCTATTTAGGTAGTGAAGCATGAACAGGCCTTTCTAAATTCCCCACGACTGCCCTCCTTTGAAGCCGTGAATCTAAAGACCGTGCTGGCACTGAATCAGCCCGTGGGCCTTTCTCTGATAATTTACCAAAAAGGATAATTGTTGTTTGTTTGGCAATTTTGGAATAGAAAAGGAAGAATAAAAGAACTTAATAACTCATATCGTGATAAGTGTACTCCAGGGATTGATTGATTGTGAAGTTATTTTTTTGACTTAACAAGTTTTTTAAAATTCAAGGAGTTGACATTGATCTGTAATACATACATTGCTTTTGAAATCAGTTTCTCTTAAGCATTGTGGCTGTAGCATGATACAATAGCCAATAAGGTAGCAGACAGTAGTAGCATTACTGGGAGAATTGCCATGTGGAAGAGTTTGATTGTCAACTTTAACACTGATGCCTGAATGCAAAAGAAATGGACCTGAGGCAAGTGGAGGTCAGACACCAAAAGTGAACATCTACTGTGTCCTTGTGGTCACCCATGTTATGAGTGGAAGTCAGAAAGGTGGTTGAGGGGCAAGTGGGAAGTAATGGTGTATTTTTGTCAGGAAGCTGTCTGTGCCTTGAGACTAATGAGATCGGGAATGATAGGGATGGGGAAATTAAGAAGGTGACGACACTAAAGAAAAAGTGTTAGGAAAAGTATGTTCTGACTTGAGATCAATGCATTTGAATCCAAATTTAAATTTAAATTTAATCCAAAATTAAACCAGTACATTCCTATGCCAGCCCAGAGAACATTTAGTTATATGTGGTTCTTCTTACACCGGATTCCTTCAGTAGCTCATCTCAGATGTCATCGCAGTGTTCTCATGGCCCCACCTGAATTGTGCTCTTAAGAGCAGCCTGAGAAAATAACTAAATCTTATAGGAATGAAAAGACGCCTTATGTATATGCATATCTTTTAAACTGTTAGAACTAGGCTGAATCCTCCTGTAACTTCGCTGGACCAAGGTGGTTCTCCACCATCAAGGTAAAATTATTTAAGTACATAGTCTGAGTTCACATAGTGGTGAAGATAGATGTGCAGAGCTAGGATATGATCCTTTGCTTATTCCCCGGCAGACATATAGGAAGAACGTCCAGCAGATGATCCAGTGTCTAATCCGCAAACTTGCTGCACTCAGCCAGTATGAAGAAGTCCTGGCAAAAATCAGCTCCACATCTACAGATCGGCTCACAGTTCTCAAGACCAAGCCACAGTCCATACAAAGGGACATCATTACCGTCTGCAGTGACCCTTACACAATGGCCCAACAGCTGACTCACATAGAGCTGGTAAGACTGCTGACATCCTTGCTCTTTTCAACCACAGACTTGGTTTGCCTTGGCAACTAGACAGTGCATTTGTCAGCAGTAATGTCACGGGAGAGGTTAGAATAATCCAAATGGGAAATAATCTATGAAATAGCTGGAACTGGTTTTGTTTAGACATTTGAATATAAATAAATGTTTCTGATATTCTGGGAATTCGCTTTAAAATAAATACTAAACAAGACTTAAGGGCAAAGAGTTGATTGATCTTCCTCATCTTCCCCTTCTAATTAATTTTTCCGTAACTCATTTAGCCTTTCGCAGTCTAATGTAGTGTTGACCTAAGCAGAACATTGCCTCTGCTTAGGGTTAAAGGCTCATTTTACAAACTGCATAAAAAAGGGCGGGGAGGGGGGGGCGGGGGTTAGTGCTAAAAGCCGATAAACAGAGTTGACAGCCCATTTCTTCTCATTTTCTCTAATCCTGTTGACCTGCTGGGTTTGTGTTTCAGGAAAGGCTCAATTACATTGGGCCAGAAGAATTTGTTCAGGCATTTGTGCAGAAGGACCCTTTGGACAACGATAAGGTAATCAGTCTACCCCAAATGCCAGACCCCTGAAATCAAAAATGGAATTCCTTAGCCTATGATAGTAGGTACAGGAGACAGAAATTGGAACTTTTTGTTTTAGGTTTTAAAATCGCAACTTTTTTTCAACATCTATGTCTAAATTCATTGCAGTTTTTCTTGTCAGATCTCTAAGTGCCTTTATAATATTCTTACCCTATGACCAACTCTGGGCCTCTTCTTCCTCCTTATTGGGAAATTTAATAAGCAAGTAGATGCAGACCTTTGTGGTGATGCGGGTACGAGATAAAAGCATAATGGTTTTAGCAGATTAAGTCAGAAAGAAAATACTCTGCTCATGATTCAACAATAGCAAGGGCAGTAAAGACAGGATGCACATCCAGCGTGGTGAGTAAAGGTCTTTACGGCCTGACCTCTTTTTCAGGGTGAATCCTCATGACAGGTTTATTGCCCGAGTGAAGCCTACATTTAAAGACAATAACACTGGGCATAGACTGTAAAAATCAATGTATGTATATACGAAGTTTCCCCCGCAGTGATCTCCAGAAGTATTTCGAATTATCAGGCAAAGACTCTTATCACCCACTAAGGAGAACTCCTCTTTAGGAGTCGGAGCAGCAGCTGTTTTCCGGCCTTAGAATAGTTTCCCTCATACAGGAAGTGATGATTAGGTTTTGCAATCAATAGAAAGCTACTGCGCTTTTTTGTTAATTCGTTATTTTTGGAAGGAAGGAAAGTGGAATATAATTAACCTGTTTGCACTTGGCCTTGAACTCCGAGATGAGCTTAACTCCTTTGGCTTTTGACTGATGTGTCATTTACTCAGTTAAGGACCATGATGATGTAGACTTCCGTTTATCTACCCTGGAAGATATTTCGTTTCTTGCTACATTATGCTCCAAAATTTTGTCCTAGACTTAATTTTAAGAAAAAAATTTCTAGTTCCCTGCACGCTCATCTTCTCCTTGCTGTGCTGATAGCAGGTGATGTTTACATCCCGTTAATCAGTTGATTGTTTTAAAATGCAGCCAAAACTCTTCTTCATTTGAATTATGCTTCTGAGGACAGTTTCACTCAGAGTAATAGTTTTCGTGGAGGGGGGGAACGGGGGGAGTGGTTGGGAAGGGCACTGACATGAATGCATAAAAGTACATTTCTAGACCGTAGGGGTTCAATGGACTACATTATGGGATTTTGATGTTTCTACTGGGAGAGTCAAGAATGTTAGTGTTACGTTCATTCTCTCCTCCACCCTTCTTCCTTCCTGCCCTTTCCCCTCCTCCCCCAACACTTCTATCCTAGAAAGCTCTCCTGATCCATAAACTGAGAATAAAGACCTATATCTAATAAAAATGGGAGCCTAATGCATGCTTTGTTTTCTCCAACTCATCTGCTCACTTTACTTTCCCTATAGAGTTGCTACAGTGAACGAAAGAAAACACGAAATTTAGAGGCTTATGTGGAATGGTTTAATCGCCTCAGCTACTTGGTTGCTACAGAGATCTGCATGGTGAGAAAATGAATTTTCTGTCTCTTAGCTCTGTATTATTTTTTTATATTTATTTTACATCCGTTGTGCCCACATGTTGGATAATCTTTCTCCTTTTTTTTTTTTTTTTTTCTCTATACAGCCTGTAAAGAAGAAACACCGGGCAAGAATGATTGAGTATTTCATTGACGTCGCCCGGGAGTGTTTTAACATTGGCAACTTTAATTCCTTGATGGCGATAATCTGTGAGTGTTTTCTGGAAGATACATGTTCTTTATTTTTATAGGTTCTGTGAAATGTATCCACTGAAAATTTGCAAATAGTTCCATTTTATTACTGTAAACTGTACTTTGTAATCCTCAATTGTTTCAGAATGTTTAGAATGCTTTAAAACCAATTTGGTACAAGTATGTATAATCTTTTTAAAATATACAAGAATTCATGGAATGCATTTAGTCAATTTATCCTCATCTCTATGTCTATAAAAGCTTATAAGCGAAGTATATTTATCTAAATGAAGTGTTTAAAAAGGATTCGGGCAGCTTGTTTATCAAGCATTATAGAAATATTTGATCTGAGACTAAATTATATGATTCCATCAGCATGGATAAGAGGGTGAATTGTGAAACTGGAACATTTTCTGTCTGCCCGTGCTCCTAGTACTTATCACCTGCAGACCTTATTACCTTGGAATACAGACTTCACTCCTCATCTTTATCATGGGGATTTAAATGCCAGTGACCATGTGTCTTTCCATTCATTCCGTAAACAGTGGGAATGGGATAACAACACTATGTCTTAGTTTTCTCAGATTAAACCTGTTGTCTCACTACAATTATTGACAATGACTCTTATTTAAAAGTGTCCTAATATATATGATAAATAATATGGCCATTCTACACATTGTAAGTACTTAGCAAATATTTGAATATTTACCTGGCTCTTTAGAGTCAGGGTCAGTTTGAAGCCAGAGAATCTACCAAATTTAATTAAATAATTTTGAACCTAATCTCCAATCTCAACCAATTCTCCCTGCCCCCCTTTTGTGTGTGTGTGTGTGTGTGTGTGTGTGTGTGTGTGTGTGTGTGTGTGTGTGTGTGTGTGTGTGTGTGTGTGTGTGTGTGTGTGTGTGTGTGTGTGTGTGTGTGTGTGTGTGTGAGTGTCATTTCCTCTTTGTCTCCCCCATAAAAATATTGGCTAAGTTTCAGCTCTTTATTTGCCTTACTCCGTGAAAATAGTAAGCAGGATGATATCTAAATCAGGAACCTAAAAGATCCACAGTCTAGGTAATAGAAGATGACTTAATTTTAAGTATAAAAGAGTTCATGGAATACGTTTAGTATTTAATTTCCCTCTTATACCATTAATAAAATGTCAAGGTAAGCCATATCATGGGAGAAAATATTTGTAATATATATAGTTGAAAAGCTTGTATCTAGACTTTATAAAACAGGGGTCCCAAATCCCTGGGCTGTGGACCGGTACTAGTCTGTGGCCTGTTAGGAACTGGGCTGCACAGCAGGAGGTGCGTGGTGGGCAAGCGAGTGAAGCTTCATCTGTATTTGCAGCCGCTCCCCAGCGCTAGCATCGCTGCCTCAGCTCCACCGCAGATCATCAGGCATTAGATTCTAAAGGAGCACTGGTCCCTGGTGCTATAAAGAATCCTACAAATTATAATGAGACAAATAACCCAGTAAACCCAGTGAAATAAAGGGCAAAATACTTGAATAGACACTCCACAAAAAAAGATCTACTAATGGAAAATAAGTATATGAAAAGGTGCTCCACATCATTAGTCATCAGAGAAATACAAATTAAAGTCACAGTGAAATACTGTTTCACACATTGGAATGAATGACATGAAAAGACTAGTTGAACCAAATATTGGTGAGGATGGTGGAGCAAGTGCAACTGAAACTCTCAAACATTATTGGTGGGAGTGTAAAATGGTATGACTACTTCGAAAAACTGTTTGGCAGGTTTTTATAAAGTTATCTTAGTAGTTAGAGTGTAAGTTAGAACGGTTTTTCTTATTTCTCTCTTTCAACTTTCTTCCCCCTCTGCCTATTTCAAATGGGAAGCTGGCATGAATATGAGCCCAGTCTCTCGATTAAAGAAAACTTGGGCCAAAGTGAAGACTGCGAAGTTTGACATTCTCGAGGTATGTGAAGCTGATGTTTTGCTGTTAAGTAACATTTTATACCTGGAAAGTGGAATTCCTATATATGATGTGTCTCTTGATCACGTAGTACGACAGAAGAAAACCCACAGACTCAGGGAAAGGAAAGGATTGGAGGAGGTGGGTAAATCAGGTTAAGGACTAGTCCTTTCATAGAGAGAGGTGTCCGTTGGTAGTGAATTAACTGGAGACATGATGACCTGTCAGTCACATCACATTGTATGCCAGGATGGAATATGGGTCTTGAACAGTTTGGAGTTCTACTTCAGTGTGTGCCAACTAATTTTATTTATTTACAGTGTCCCAGGGGAGGGGTTCCCCATCCATATAGAAATAGTCATTCACCATCCTTTCAACAAATACAGTTAACCTGTGAAGAAGCCCTTTCAATATAATTCTCAGGGTAGTAAGATTTGTACAAAAAGGCATTTGTGTTTGAATCGTATTCGTGTTATTATTACATCGATATGTAGTTTCTTTGTATCTACTCTTTGGAGACAATAAAGTATTTTTTCCTCAGTTTTCCCCCAAATTGGGAATTATCAGTAGGTATGTTATATTTTGCTTTATTCATATTATCTAGTAAATTTCTTTTCCTTCTTGTAAGATTGGTGTACTTCAATTATTTGTGAAGATTTGTTACCAAAAGCAAAGAACAACTTCACTACAAAGTGTTGGATCACTACATGTGGCTATCCATCAACTGACACATTAACCTTCAAATGAAACCAGGAAATGGTTTCTTATGTTGGCATTTGACTCTTTGTAATCAGTTTTAAATCTAATCTCGGCAGTTAATCTGGAAAGAATTTGGTCTGGGTTTAACATTATCGAAGTTGACATCAGCTTACGTAAATAAACCAAACCTCAGGAAAGAAAATATTTGTGTTCTAATATGTTTCATGCCTGTGTGTGGGTATAAGAGGGATAAATCATATTCTTAGTGAATTCCCTAACTTATTTTGAATTTTTTATGTAGAGTTAAAAGTACGATCTTGTAAACTTTTTCTAGGTGAGAAGTAAACAGTTCACCCTTTCCTTTCTTTTGTTTACAGCACCAGATGGACCCTTCTAGCAATTTCTATAATTATCGAACAGCTCTTCGTGGGGCAGCACAAAGATCTTTAACTGCTCATAGTAGCAGAGAGAAGGTATGTGTTTAAAAGAGTTATATTCATGGTAGAGTTGCCATGTGTTCCACTGAAATGTAATGTGAACTGCTACACTGAGCTGCTTTTACCTGTTCAGTTCTAAGAAAGAAAGCTGATCTACTGTAGAAATTTTATCACTTGCCACATAAGGAAGGGGAGTGCTAAAGGAAAGTTGGATTTTGGAAAGGGAAAGGTAATTTGATGTAGAACTTTGCAAATGTATATCACTGTGTTATTATTGCATTATTTAAATGATTATTTTGTCCTGTGTCTTAGTCACATTTCAAGCAATAAATTGTCATGTTAAGATGACTAATAGCATTAGAGAGAATATGGTTTAATGAAAAATAGACATTTAAGCTCTGCACAAGGCAGCTGACTTAATGTAACCTTTTCTCTTTAAAGAATTAGCTTATGTCCCATGGTTAAGTCATTTATTTTCAGAAAGTAGGTTAGTTGCTGTAGCATTAGGCCTGCTGTTACTAATTAGATATGTGGGTGGCAGAAAAAGTACAGGAATGATGTCTCAAAAATTAATGATCCTTACTTTATCTACCCTACCCTTAAACAATTTCATGCTATCCTGGATCTACCATAGTCTTGACTCTGAGGGTCTTTTCTTGGCACATTTCAGTTTTATATTTCCTTATATGGGAAGGGTAAGTCTTTTCAACATTTGGAGATGTGTTATCTGAGAAGTAAATACTTGGTTATAGTAAAGGGCTGACGGAGGTTGTTGATGGAAGTTTTCTGCATAGATTCTGTTCATCTTTTAACTTAAACTGTATCTTCAACAAATAAAAGAAAATGAAGGTAAAAAACATTTAGGACATCTTATTCACTTACCCCCAAAAAGCTTCAGCCTCAGTGATCTAGAATAAAAACAAACACAAAAAGAAAGCTCGCCTTTAAAAAAAAAAAAGCTGTGTTGATTTTCAAACAAATCTGAAATATCAATTCTGATAATGTTTGAGAGATATTATAGATATGTTTCCTTTTTTTTTTTTTTAAATAAAGAAATAAGGTCAGAGAGGGGATGAAGCAGAAATAACTCTCTAACTTAGCCCAATGGAGTTTACCAGTTTTTCAGTTTTACGTGCCCCAGTCCAAGTATTCCTATGACTAGATTGAGAAAAGATCTAATTAGAAATTTTTTAAGCACATGCATGGGAGGATCCCAGGGCCCTGAAGTGTGAGGATGCTTTGGGAGCTGTCTGCAACTTCTCATTCACATCTCCCTCGGCACGTCTTCCTGGCTCTCAGTGAGTTTGGTGGGCTCTGCCTCGGTGAGGGGGCTGTAGAATCCTGTCTTTTAATAGGGAGCTGCAGCATTGACGAAAGGAATTCTGAAGTCTAACCCCCGCAAAAAGATCTCATTGAATATTATACCTGTGGGAATCCGATAACTTTTTCTGGGTGGGGGTGGGGGGAGTTTTTACCCTTTACATCATTGAATAAATTATGTCTGCTTAATTTTGTTGTATTTTTGAACCAGTTCTGTTTAAGCATATGACTTGTACTCTCTAGTGCATAAAATGAATGAAATCACCATCATTTGAAATTATAGGCTGCTTCTTTTTCACTGTTGGTCTCAAAGGCTATGAATGAAAACATTTCTAGATAAAATCTATCTTTTATTCAAGAGAATTGGAATTTTTTTTTTCTTTTATGAAGTGAGAGTAAATTCTCTTTATTCCTAAGTATTTCCTATTTTAAAATCCTGGCAATACTCTACGTGAGTAGAGTAATAGAATCTTTGGTATTCTTTCAAATCTCGAGGTTATGTGGCCAACGTAGCACATCTAATACCATGTTACAGAACAAATCGAATCTCTCTTCCACATAGGGGTCTTAAATGATCTTTAAATGGTTATTTTTTTCCCTATAGTAACACACGTCTTCAGATTTTTTAACCACTCTTTATACGATTCTGTGGTTTTCAGTCCTTTTACCATTCACTTTTGTTCATGGGCACTTGTTCCTGCTCCTTGGCATTTCTTGGTGTGGAACTGATCATGCCTTGAATTGCAGTGGCCGACTCTCTGAATTAAAAGTATTTTGAGAAAGAGTTGGAAGGCATTATTATTTGAGAAGTTCTCCCACTGAAGACATCATTGGCAAGACCTCCTGGAAACTAGACTTTTGCTCTTTCCTATTAGTGACCTATACATTCACTTTAGCTCATGGAAATGCAAAGTTCTTAGAATCTCCTGTTAGATTTATATGGGGGCTACAGAACTGAAAGGAATTATCCATGAGTAAATGAGAAGTCGAAGAAGCCTGTGAGCCTTTTTCCTTGCATATGGGCATAAGGAATAGAGCAGGGAAGTATCTTAATGAAGATTACTTATGTTTCTGTTTTCTTAGGAGAGTGATTCAATCAGTGGTGGAACATTTTGCAGGCACCATGAATGCAAAAATCATATAAGATACAGCCTTTGTCACCCAACTAAAGGCACATGCCATGAACTTATGAAAAGTTTAAATATCAATATGGAGTAGTAAACGATCAGCCCCCACATGAATCTTATAGCCTAGCTCTATAGAATAGAGCACAGAAATAGCGTTCTTGCTTAAAAGCTATTACACTACGCAAATATTGCCTCATTTCCCTGAGGCCGCCTTATGATGATATAGCCTCACTATCTTTTAAGTGCATCAGTAATGTATTTGTCCCTTTGTATGGAATCCATTGATTTTTGGAGGAGTGCTTCATTGAAGTGAAGCCTGCATGATTTAATTTAATTCTCGCTGCAGCTCAATGAGGTAGTTACTGCTATTGCCATTTTAAGGTGAGGACAGTAGGATTTCTACGTATGTTAGGTTTATACCAAGGGTTGGCAAACTTATTCTCCTAAGGGTCACATCATAAATATTTTGGGCTTTGTGGGCGGCACCATCTCTTTTGCAGCTACTCGACCCCGATAGAGTAGCACTAAGCAGACACAGGCAATATGTGGATGAATGAGCGTAGCCGTTTTCCAGGAAAGCCGGATGGCCATTATAATTTGAATTTCATATAATTTTCATGCTCATGAAATGTTATTCATTTGATATTTTTCCAGCCATTTAAAAATGTAAACTGTGTGGCTCCTAGGTTATCCCAAAACAGGTGGTGGGCCAGGGCTGGCCCGTGGGCCACAGTCCGCAGACCCATAGCTCTTGCCGCCAGTAAATTGTGGAGCCAGATTTTAAACTGATGTTTGACAGAGTCACAAGTGGTCTTTCAAAGAAATGAGGTTCAGGTGTGCTTTTATAATCGACACTGCTGTTTAATTCTAAAATAACAGAGAAACACTAGTAATATTTGGTGGAGCAAGGTATCTTTAACAATTCAGTTTAAGAGACTTCCACAGACAATAGCAAATGATTAAAAGTATATTCAAAGGGGCTGTCAAAATTGAAGATTACTTTGACTATTTTCAGAGATCAATGAAACAAAAAAAAAATCAAAGCTTTTTTTTTTTAAATGACTTTAGGGGAAAATCTGAATTTCTCTCTAGAAGTAGAAATTGATATTTATTATTTTGGTGCGTAAGCCAAACTGTATGTTTTCTAGACATCCCATTCATTTAGTAGAAATGTACCACATGAGTCATAAGTTTAGGGAAACCAGAGGAACCTGCTTTCGGGTAAACAACATAGGCCCACAGTTTGTATTTGGAGCATCATTTGCATTGTAGCAAATGTAGAACCTTTAAAATTATGTTGGCATTTGAGACAAAGCGGAAGTTACTGGTCTGAGCTTTGTTCTTTGTTCATTATTGGCTTATTAAAATAGATTTTGACAACTTTTAAATAACCTAAAATAATTAATTATTTTAGGTTAATTAATTAAATACTACCCCCATCAAACCAAAGATATGAGGCAAGAAATTCTTACTAAAGAAAGCTTATTGTTTTTCATAGTAATTTTAAAATGCACATGTATATTCCTCCTTCACTTGGGCATATCTCTTCACATTGTACAAAGTACTTCTTTGGTGATTCCCCATGAGAACAGATGCTAACTTGTTCTGACATAAGAAGGCCAGGTTTACTCAATAGGAAGTCTGTAGCAACTATTACCTAAAACCTTGAGCTCTCTCACATTACCTTGAGCAATGTCTTCAAAGAAATGAGGTTTAATAAAATGTTCATCTAAAAAAAAGTTCATCTAACATGTAGATGTCTAAATGATATTACAATACAGGGAGGTGGGTCACACATCTTAAAATCTTGGTACCTGCGATGACAGGTATTGTATTAATATTTTGCTCTAGGTAAGGGATTGCTCAATGAAAAAGCTAGAGTTCTCTTAGATCTTTTCTCTTTGATTATAGTTAGAATGTTCAGATTTCATTACAAGCATACCTCGTTTTATTGCACCTCACTTTATTGTACCGCACAGATTTTGCATTTTTTGCAAATTGAAGGCAAGACCCTCCACCAGCAGAAAGATTATTACAACTCGCTTCATTGCGACACTCGCTTTATTGCGGTGGTCTGGAATTGGACCCACAATATCTCTGAGATATGCCTGTATATGCTCTTGTCTCACATTGAGAAAAACTATAGGGGGAACTGTAGGAACAACATGAAGCCCTCAATCTCCCCATGCCTCTGGTCTTTGCTGCATTTTGGTTATGAACAGCATTTGTGTCTTAAGCAAAATTATGTAAAGGAGGAAAATGCTGTCATAGGAGCCAAACAAAACTCTATCTTAATTTACTCTGGATTTTTATGTAATCCAGAGTTAACGTTCATTAATTTCTTGTATTGTTTGATAAGAGGCTCAATGTTTGTTTGCCCAAAACAAACCAAAATCTTTTCTTTTCTTTAGATTGTGATACCATTCTTCAGTCTTTTAATCAAAGATATTTATTTCCTCAATGAGGGCTGTGCCAACCGCCTTCCAAACGGCCACGTCAACTTCGAGGTAAGGGCAGGCTGCAAAAATCTAAGCACAGAGAAGGGCGAGCGTCTCCAGCATTGTATCCCAGGCCAGGCAGCCAAAACTGATTTGGAAATTC